GATCATAATTGCACGTGACATTAATAGTCTTACCGTCTGTCAAAGTATATTAAATGTCTTACATGTATCACCTGTAGTCGATTTTGACAAAAAATAGTGGAAAAATCAATTCTCAAGAAGTTTTAAAGTTTGACAGAACATACCAATCAACTTTAGTTTAAACAATATTTATTCAGATAAATCAACATTAAACCATATTATACAAATGAAATAAATATTAAGGATTCAGAAACAAGCAATTTGCTCTTACAAATCTGTCTCCTTTTACAAAAATAATACACTTTTTAAACACTACATACATATAATTACTGGCATGCTCTGTAATAAATATATGAATATGAAAAAGGTGGAAAATACTTAAGAGAAGAAGAAAAAAAAAAAGTAAAAAAAAAATAAACATGAATTTTTGTAATGTATACAGTGTGAAATGCTTGGGTTCCCATTGAATGATGAAGCATTAACATCAAGGGTTAAAACGATTCTTTTTAATAATATATTTCAACACCAAACTAAATAAAAGACTATTTTGCTCATCTGAGAGTACCGTTGATCCAAAAAGCAAAGTTTTTGTGTCAACTTGGGCAGGAAGAACTGAAACAGAATCTAATAGTTCATGTCTTAAATCGGTGTATATGGGACAAGATAACAGGAAGTGAGAATTTGTTTCTACATCACCACAACGACAATTTGGAGAGTCTACTAAATTAGGAAGGAATAGGTGAGAATTCAATGAACTTGAATCCATTCTTAAGCGAGCATGAAGAATTTGACCAAAACGATATCCTACATTAATAATACGTTGGGGCCTTACTATTTTGGGTACGAATTTTTTTTTTGAATAATGATAGATTCACATTTTCTAATGTTTAAGTTAAAAGTGTTCCATAGTTTTGTTGTTGCTGGGATGAAATATTCAGAATATAAACGGGTCCGTGTGTTGACTTGTGTAATATTATTTCTTTGTCCTGTGTTGTGATCATGTCTACTTCCTACTGAATCGGGCAATAAGTCTCTTAAATACTCTGGAGTTTTATTATTCAAAATTTTGTGATAATGAATTAGTCTATGATTGCGTCGTCTTTCAGATAATTTTTCCCATCGAGTTTCAACATATAAATTGTTAATACTGGTAAATTCAGTACCCCCCGTGACGATACTCGCTGCGTCAAGCTGAATATTTTCAAGTTTAGCCATCAAATTCTGATTTTGAGAGTCCCAAACGACATCGGCATATTCAAGAATTGGGCGAACAAATGATATGTAAATTTTTTCAAGTGTAAACCTATTAAGAACATTTTTCATTTTTCCCATTATATTTATTCTTTTGTAAGATTTAGAAATTATATATTCAATATGGTCGTTCCAGGATCCGTTGTTAGAAAAAAAGACACCTAGATGTTTGTGTTTACTTACTGTTTGTAGCTCTTGGGTATTCATATTTAATGGAGGATGAAAGGTAAAATTGATGAAAGGTAAAATTAATGGAGGATGAAAGGGTCTATTTATTTTTTTTAAAATTATCATACTTTCAGTCTTTTGGGCATTAACATTCACAAGCCATTTCTTTGACCAATTATAAATCTTATCTAGATCGTTATTTAAAATTGTAGCTGTTTCTGTTGGATTGTCAACCATAATATATAATGAAGTGTCATCTGCGAATAGCTTAATTTGAGCTTGAATGTCTTCTACAATAACGTTAATAAATGTCAAAAAAAGAGAGGGCCCAGAATGGACCCTTGTGGGACGCCTGCATTTACAGGTAACCATTCAGAACTTGAACCGTTAATAACCACCCGCTGGACTCTATTTGTAAGGTAATTTTCAAACCACTTTAATAAAGAACCCGATATGCCGGTTTCTTGAAGTTTGAATAGCAGTCCCTTATGCCAGACTCGGTCAAATCAACTTTCACGGACCTTTTTATTTTACACTTACTCAACGTATTGTAGTTTCACTATTCAATTTTCATCTCAATGCTGTGTTTTTCGTAATGCATTAAATTGTGTATGTTCTTGATTTTTGTAAAAAATATTATATAAAAATAAGAAGATGTGGTATGATTGTCAATGAGACAACTCTACACAAGAGACCAAATGACACAGAACTTAACAACTTTAGGTCACTAAACGGCCTTCAACAATGAGCAAGCCCATACCGCATAGTCAGCTATAAAAGGTTTCAAAATGACAAATGTAAAACAAATATGTTACACAGCAACAAACGACAACCATTGAATTACAAGCTCCTGACTTGGGACAGGCACATGCAGAATGTGGCGGGGTTAAACTCGTTTGTAGGCGCCAACCCTCCCCATACCTGGGACAGTGGTGTAACAGTACAACATAAGAACAAACTACAAAAATCAGTTGGAAAAGGCTAATATTTCCGTACTCCATGTATACCTTACTACAAAATTATTTTTATTTACCTGTGTACGTTATCTTATTTGGCGGCATTTTATCCAAGGTTATGGTTGTCTGTCTGATATTGTTTTACATCTCCCCCTTTTTGTTATTAATTTTGTATTTACATTGTGTCATATATCAATTTTATTCGTTCAGTGTATGTTTACTTGTTTTTGTTAATATGTCTTTTGATTGAGTTAAGCCATTTCAATTGATATTTTATAGTGTGTCTTTCTATGTTGTGATGTTACACTATTGTTTCATGTTAGGGTGAAGGTTGGCGCCTGTTAAAACTTTTAAACCCGCTGCATTTTTTTTACACCTTTCCTAAGTCAGGAACCTGTTGTTTATTGGTTGTCGTTGGTTGATGTGGTTTATAAGTTTCTGGTTTCTCGTTTTATATATAGATTATACCGTTGATTTTCCTGTTTGAATGGTTCTACACTAATCATTTTTAGGGCCCTTTAAAGCTTTCTGTTCGGTGTGAGCCAAGGCTCCGTATTGAAGGCCGTACTTTGACCAATAATAGTTTACTTTTACAAATTGTGACTTGGATGGAGAGTTGTCTCATTGGCACTCATACCACATCTTCTTATATCTATTAACTCATCAGATGGATACAAATAGAAATACCAAAAAAATACATATCTAACAAAAACACAGAGTGGACGTGGACGGGTACTTATACATCCACACAACAGAACGTCACTAAGTACATAAATGAGAGTACGCGCAGTTACTGACAGCTAGTTCAAAGCCAATAACAACTTATAAAAAATATCATGCATCTAAGACTAAAATATCAATCAGAACACATCCAACCTCCAATGAATTTAGTATAAAGACGTCATAAACAGTCAGAGAAAAACATGACCTTGTGCAATTCCAAGATACAGGTACCGACAGATTGTAGAGCTACGAATGTACATATGTATATACAAATAATATTAAGTTTGATCTTAATTTATTGATAACAAAATCAATATTAATTCCAATAAAAACAATATTCAAAGATCTAATTACAGTGTTGAAATGGTAACCATTTAGAATAAATTTATTTAAAAGATCGACAGGTTTACCCGGATCGTTTCCAAGTTTTCCCTTTTGTCGTAAATTTTAGTGTAGAGTTTCCTGTGTAAAACTGAAATATTCAAATCTAGGAAAGGACAGTTATTACCGTTTATATCTGATTTATTTAAAGTTCCTTTGGGTAAAATTTGGCAGTATATTTCGAAAATTATTGATTATTTAACGAAAAAATATCATCAAGATACCGATAAGTGTTGTTGAATTTATGAATTAAATGCAATTTAGACGGGTCTTTACTGAATTTGGTCATAAACTGTGATTCATAACAGTACAAGAACAAGTCTGCTATTAAAGGCCCGCAATTGGTGCCCATAGGAATACCTACAACCTGTCGAAAAAATGTATTGCCGAAACGTACATAAATATTATCAAGGAGAAAATTACCAGCTTCAATCCTCTCATCACACCTCCAGTAAGTATATCTAGCATATTTACCTTTCTCATTGGAGAAGAAGGCTTTAAATGAGCTGCAGCAAATATATTTGCATTCAGATTTACCAAACGACCTTTAATTAAAAAGGAACACTTTTGTTTGATAAGATTGTGTGGAAGTGTAGTGTAAAGAGTTGAAAAGTCAAAACTGTCAACAGAATCAAAAGGACCATCAAAAGCACCTATTTTATCTAAAACATCCCAAAAATGTTTTACTCTCCAAAAATAGTTAATTCCACTTTTTTTATATATTTTATTACAAAAGTTAATGATAAGTTCTATGATAGTAGTTAAGAGCCAATCCGCCAGAAAACCATGCAATATTCAGAAAATCGTCCAAATGGACAATCACAACTTGACAAATTTTTATACATCATCTTAATCCTTGACATAAAATAAAAGAATTTGACCACTTAATTTTTCCCAGAATCGTATCTATTTTTAGTAACAGCCTCATTTGCATAATTCTGTAAATTCATAATGAAACCAAGGAAAAATCCAACTTTTTTATGCATTTTAAGAATGACCCAGAAGCATATTAAATGGGGTAGTTGAGATTTTAGAGTAATGTCAGCTGAAACTCATCCATTTTACTATGTTATGATCAATACAAATGAAAATTTAAACGATTTGGCACATTGCCAGGAGCAGGGACACAAAGGCGTGGTTTTTCATACATGAATTTACGTGGTTTTCATTCGCTTCTATCTTGCAAGACCCATTCCGGATTTGTTTGCAACTTATATCGGTTTTAACTATGGGGTATGTTTTATTTCAAAACAAAATATTAAGCTTGGCAAATGACTATTATATGTTAATTTATGCCTTGGAAGAATGGTGATTTTAGTCCCAAATTGACACATTTTGATTTTGATTTTAATTAAATTCTAAACACAATTGGTATTAAAATGGCTCATAAAATCATTCGAACAAGTAAAATCAATTTGTCTGAAAAATGAAATAAGACGTATTTGTACTGCAAGTCCAAAAATCAATCAAATTGTCTGAAACCCAGGGAGTCCATCTTTTATGCTCTTCCATTGACTTATCTCCCTTGGGTAGGATCTCAAACATGTCAACTCCCAGTGATGGTTTGGCAGACAAATGTTTACAGTGAAGTTTGTGACTTTAATAATCTAGGATGAGCATGTGGGCCATCCCAGCCTTATACATCTACACATTACGAACTATTTAAGATATCTGAATGCACTAAAGACCAAAATAGCATTTCCAAACAAAATAATTACTGCCAAGAAATTTGACAATCATGACAATAATTTAGTGAATAAACATGATAAATATTGATTGGAAAAATAAGTCCATGAACAGCAAAAAGTGTTTTTAGATTTCAACGAGCAAAACAAAAGTATTCTAAATCATTCTTCGTAATAAATAAAAAAGGTGAGCGAGTGGAACCGCCTTGCTCGCACCAAAATTGAGATTGAGAGTGTCAAAACTGCTCTGGCACACCATCAATAAATCAACGACATTCTCTCTACCGTGGTATTGAAGCCAGCATTGGTAACCAAACATATTCATACAGATACAGACTACCATTCATCTACAATTAGGAAGTCTGAATAATACTGAAAACTATGGTGTAGAATTTCCAACAGGACTCCTTATTTTATATAAGACAAGGAGTGGTTTATTTTCCCATGGTTGTTACATCATCTTGTCTTTGAATATGCTCGAAGTACAGGGACTTTTATGGAATTCATTGACATGATAGTCAAGCAAGATGTCAACATCTCGTCCAACCCTCTTCCAGCAAAGCCAAAGCTGACCAAGGATCTTCACCCTTTCAAAACAGGCTGTATACAGGACGAGTTATTCCAGTAGGAACAGGTACAAATCTTACAATCAATTTTCATTTGTTCCATATAGCCAATCTGAAATTAGGGGACCAACAATTGATACATTATATATAATTAGCTAGATTAAAAAAAGGAGCGGGTGGGTGTTGAAGGGGCATGTGAATATTCTTTTACACCTGACCTGTTTCTAAGACATCTTATTTATTTCCTATGGCAAAGTGCAAGCAAATAATATATATCCGTATATACATTGTTCTGTCTTGGGACCATTTGATTAAAAAAGCAAGGGGGAGGGTTAGAATGGTCGAAATATTTATGTCCTTGTCAGCTTAGGACAGAATTTTAATTTTCAAGCTTTTAACCAGGGTACAATATATATTTATTTTCTGCTTTAAAAAATCAATTTATAGACCAGAATCATGATAATAATCAAAATCTATTTCACTATATTCAACGTTTAGCAGGTCAGGTTTTTATTCTCTTCCCCTAAGTTATATTTTCAGTTCTTACTGGAAGTTGTTCAGCTCTATGTCTACTAAAAAAAACTTTTATCTCGTGGAAAAGCCTCCTACAAATACATGTTTTACATACAACATACTGTACATGTAACACTAGACAACTTTATCCAGAGAAAAATATTTTTTTAATGAACTAATAGGCCATGGAGACTAAAAAAATCTAAAGCATTGCAAACTTTTGTAAAGTTCAATTTTAGGACCCTACATGAACATGTATGTAGATTACTTATAGAGCCCTTTTTAAAAGAAAAAACATACATTTAAACTACATGCACAGTGATGCTACACTACCCTACATTTCCTGTCTGATATATTTTATTTCATGTAAAACAAAATTGAAGAATTATTTTATAGTTTAATACTTTTTATTTGTAGGGCTATATATATGCAAGCAATGCTCAATTAAGATGAATTTTTGTAAAAGTGACAATAGCCAGGTCAAACTAAATACATGTATAGAAGAAGATATTGGTAAGTTATTATTGGTAAGTTATTATTAACTTATATATTAATTTAACTGTTTGTATAACATGGTAATCATACAAAGTATATGTAATCACTTATATAATAACATAATTATACAATTACATGTTATACATTTGTACATCAGTTTTATTAAACAGGTCTTTGTTAACTTGGTTTTCCCATTGAAAAATCACTTTCAATTGCTAATTTTAATTTGTAGTACTATATTGGGCGGCTCCTATAGTTTCCATTCAATAACTAACAATGACTAATGAACTGTTCATACATTCCATTTCAATTTTTAGGCAGTTAAGCTGCCTTATGCGAGCACCCTAGATTTGTGTTCTACCCAATAAATGCTGAAATACGTGCCATTGTTATTATCTAGCTGGCTATTATGTTATTTATAACTAATTGGACATTTTTTTAATACTTTTATTTCTGGAATACAAAAAATATGACCAGAAAAACCTTAAATGATCGTCGAACTATCCAAAACTTTTGAAGTTGCACATAGGAAGTAGTGCTCAATAGAAATCCGTACGTAGTTTATTATCCCCTGTGCTTTTGGCTACGATGTCAAAGAACAATTGTATGAAATATTTCATCGCCGAAAATCGGTAATTACAAGTCCTTTATTTTTCCCAAATGGCAAAATGCGCAGGAATATTGTTCATGTACAACAAATCTCTATGATAGAGGAAATAAAGTTATATAAGTGGGTGGTAATTTCTAACTTATCTTGCCAAATAAGGTTGTTGTTATTTTATGAATGAAACGAGGTCATGAAAACAGATGCGAAAATCGACGTTGATGGGATGTTTTAAGTAATGTGGACAACTCGTCCCCGAGACAAGTCGTACCGAATCCACTCAAACCGTCTAAGAAGACAACTTTGACCGTTTGTCAGATTTACTTAGGGTTTCATAAAAATATGAGACTAACATGTCTAGCGGAGCCATTAATCTTTTGTTTGTGCATTGGGGTCTATTTAGGGGTATTTGGAGGGGCCTCAAGAAGGGAGGGGTTTACTATAGAACCCTATGGGATTTTTATATTTTTAAATTTTCAAATGACTCAGTAGGTGATAGACACATGCAGTCTTCAGTAATGAGAACAGGACAATACAAAAAATCAACCAAAATATAGGGTGAGTCCCTTGGGGTCATCCCAACCCCCTTCAATTTGAAGATGTACTTTTATCTTGTAAACCGTCGCGTTCCCCACCCCTAAACAATATATATACTTGAATGGGACAATAAAAGAAATCAAATGAAAATAATTTGGGGGAGTCCCCAGTACCGTCCCACCCCTCCTGTTTGAGAACTTGGAAATAGTCAAGATCCCCACCCCTAAACCATATATATTCATGTATGGGACAATAAAACAAATCAAAAATGAAATATAGAGTGAGTCCCTGGGGTCACCCCACCCCCTCCTGTTTGAGAACTTGTAAACGGTCGAGATCTCCACCCCTAAACCATATATATTCATGTATGGGACAATATAACAAAACAAATGAAATATATGGGGAGTCCCTGGGGTCACCCCAACCCCTCCTGTTTGAGAACTTGGAAATGGTTGAGATCCCCACCCCTAAACCATATACATTCATGTATGGGACAATAAAACAAATCAAATGAAATATAGGGGGAGTCCCTGGGGACACCCTCGCCCCTCCTGTTTGATAACTTGGAAATGGTCGAGATCCCCACCCCTAAACCATATATATTCATGTATGGGACAATAAAAAAAATCAAAAATGAAATATAGAGTGAGTCCCTGGGGTCACCCCACCCCCTCCTGTTTGAGAACTTGTAAACAGTCGAAATCCCCACCCCTAAACCATATATATTCATGTATGGGACAATATAACAAACCAAATGAAATATAGGGAGAGTCCCTGGGGTTACCCCAAGCCCTCCTGTTTGAGAACTTGGAAATGGTCGAAATCCCCACCCCTAAACCATATATATTCATGTATGGGACAATATAACAAACCAAATGAAATATAGGGAGAGTCCCTGGGGTTACCCCAAGCCCTCCTGTTTGAGAACTTGGAAATGGTCGCGATCCCCACCCCTAAACCATATACATTCATGTATGGGACAATAAAACAAATCAAATGAAATAAAGGGGGAGTCCCTGGGGACACCCCCGCCCCTCCTGCTTGAGAACTTGTAAACAGTCAAGATCCCCAACCCTAAACCATATATATTCATGTATGGGACAATATAACAAATCAAATGAAATATATGGGGATTTCCTCGGGTCACCCCACCCCCTCCTGTTTGATAACTTGGAAATGGTCGAGATCCCCAACCCTAAACCATATATATTAATGTATGGGACAATTAAACAAATCAAATGAAATATAGGGGGAGTCCATGGGGACACCCCACCCCCTCTTGTTTGTGAACTTGTAAACAGTCAAGATCCCCACCCCTAAACCATATATATTCATGTATGGGACAATATAACAAACCAAATGAAATATTTGGGGAGTCCCTGGGGTCACCTCACCGCCTCCTGTTTGAGATCTTGGAAATGGTCGAGATCCCCACCCTTAAACCATATGTATTCATGTATGGGACAATATAACAAATCAAATGAAATATAGGGGGAGTCCCTGGGGTCACCCCACCCCCTCCTGTTTGAGAACTTGGAAATGGTCGAGATCCCAACCCCTAAACCATATGTATTCATGTATGGGACAATATAACAAATCAAATGAAATATAGGGGAAGTCCCTGGTGTCACTCCACCCCCTCCTGTTTGAGAACTTGTAAACGGTCGAGATACCCACATCTAAACCATATTTATTCCTGTTTATCATTTCAAAAAGATTTGAATGACATACAGGGTCAATCTCCTTGGTGTCACATATGCATATCACTTTACTAGACCAAACCAATATGAACTGGACTTTGCCCAATGTCAGGAGACCATGGGAATGACGAATTATGGGGGCTTTGTTTGGGAGATTTCGTAACGGCATCCTGTTACAATTATTTCTTGTTTATTATAAAAAAAATTTGATGCAAAAAAGATTATTGAATTTACTTTAATTGTTTATTAAATTATTTCTGGGCCTATCATAATTTTCATTTATGGCTCATTTTAAAGAAAACATTTAAATCTTTCAAGCAGTGTAAAGCCCAAGAATGTTTGACCAACTGTTTTATAATCACCTGTCATTTTATTCCAAACTAGGTATGGAGTCACACCATACACTTGGGGATGAAGATGGGGGTCATTTACATTGATATATGAGTTGCTTTTGAAAACCTTGATGAAATATTAATTAATTTGCCTTAATAATCAATTCATTTATTGAACATAAATGTACAATATACGAATGTTTAATGTTTGTTCTTTCAAATCTTAAAAAAAAATTGAAGCAACATTGCCACAGTTTTCATAATTATGTTTGCCTTGGTTTTTGGTTAACTGCCTACAGTGCTTACAGTGCTTTGATTTTATTTATTAATACGTATTACTTTTACTGTTAAGTCTGTTTTTTGTGATATCCATTTTACGTGACTCTGTATTTATGTATCCCGTCATACTTTCAACGACAAAATTATTTTATGTCTACCTGTGCCAATTTCAAACGCGCGATTTTACGCCAGTACTTAAAACCTTCAATCCTTTATGGGTGGATTTTACATAGATATATAAAATCGTATAATATAAGCAAAATGAGGATGTTAAATTTGATGTATGCCTTTTTGTGCTTCTTCGTTACATTTGTTTGTTTTTATAGTGATTAAGATGATAACACAATGTTGACTGCTGTACCCCTATTTTTGACAATTTTACCTATTGTGTCTGTTTGTTTTGTTCATGCATCGTTGCCAATATAATGGAATTTGATGCGACTGTCATACATGTACAAGTGAGAGGTTTATTATCTATAAAACCAGGTTCAATCCACCATTTTCTACATAAGAAAATGCCTGTACCAAGTCAGGAATATGACAGTTGTTATCCATTCGTTTGATGTGTTTGAACTTTTGATTTTGCCATTTGATTGGGGACTTTCCTTTTTGAATTTTCGTCGGAGTTCAGTATTTTTGTGATTTTACTTTTTCAAATATAAAAGGGGGAGATTTTTATTGGTACTTTTGAAGATATTTCACCTGTTCGATTAATTGATTGGTTGTTGGTAATGCTAATGTCCAATGGCAAATAGTTCATGCATGTTTAGGACAAGAACAAATTAAAATAAATACATTATTTGGGTTCTTAATATGCTAAATCTAACAATGTATTTAAATAATTTAAGATGTTGCAATTGGGCCCCATTTTAAATTGGTTCACATTGATTTCAAAATGGACCAAAATTTTTTTTCTTATTTCTACACAACTTGAATTCTTGAGGTTCTTTTGATATACAAAATGCAAATGTTTTATGTTTAGATTTTTAATTTTGGTCAGGTTTTCAAATTTGTCCACATTTTAAAGTCCAAAGGGTCCAAATTTTAACTTAGTTTAATTTTAACAAAACTTGAACTCTAATTACAATGAATTAGGGTTCTTTGAATGATAAATAGAAATAATCAAATATCCTGAATATAAATATGTACTTAGATTTGTGATTTTGGTCCCAGTTTTCAAGTTGGTTCAAATGGGGTCCATAATTTAACTGTGTTTGATTTCAACAATAATTTTAAAGATGCTGATTCAGCCTGAATCTAACCTGTAGTTAGTTTTTGGGCCTTATTATGAAATTGGTTTACATTGAGGTCCAAAGGGTCCAAAATTAAACTAAATTTTAAATCTTAATTTGATCTTGGGGTTCTCTGATATGCTGAATCTATTAAACTTTATCTTTATACCATATTTATTCTGTGTTAGAAACCTATTCTTTGTCAAATATTTAATCCCATTTCAAATTTAGAGCTGTTATAGCTTGAATGTTCTGTCCAAACTTGCATTTCTTCTTCATTTTCCACAAAAGTTGTCCTTTTCTGAGATAACTGGTGTTATCTTTTTAAATGAAACTTTAGTGAAAAGAAAAGCACAATATGTGGATGATTATCTGATGTCAAACATTTTCAAGATGGCCACCAAGGATGGCACAAATTTTAACACTGGTTAATTTAATGAAAATTGTTAATTAGGGATAGTCGTGGTAGTTTGACTTGCTAAACAAAGTAAGGTTGTTTTTTCTTCCAAAATGGCAAACATTTTCAAGATGGCCTTATATGAAAATTGACATTAAGGAATTATAGCACTTTTGACATGCCAACAAAACAATGAAATTTTTTTTTCAAAGATTGACACAGCAAATAAAGGATAAAATTTTCAATTTTGTTGAGTTTGATTTTAAAGAATATTGATATTTAGCTGTACTTTGACACAGAGAACAGATATAAAGATGGCCACCATTTCAAAGATTGTCACTAAAAGCGGTCAAATTATCACCATTGTCTGTTTTCAATGTAAAATTATATTGAGAGGTAATTTGACATGCCAAACCAAATGGAGGCAATTTTTATTGTTGTAAAGATGTTAAGGGCTATTTGGACATGCTTAAAAGGAGTGGATAATAACTATTCTGCAAAAATGATTTGGCTTTAGTTGGGAGAATTTTGTAACTGCATCCACCTACAGTAAAAGTTGTCAATTTTATTTCCTGTCAGTGGTATATATGAAATTAAAAAAAAATGTGGTATGATTGCCAATGAGAACAAATGACATAGAAGTAAAGCTATAGATCTTCATACGCCATATGGCCTTCAACAATGAGCAAGACCTATACTGCATATATATTCAGCCATAAAAGGGCCCAAAATAAGAAAATGAAAAAATATGAAAACTAACAGCCTGATTTATGTATGTATGTTTTGTGGTTTTCAGATCTAGACTCGCAGCTAACCTTTCTGTCAAGTGTCAACAACAACTGAACTTTCACAGCAGTCAACATCAGATTAGGAGACTGATAATGCTTCTAACAGAAACAATTTCAACCAACCAAACAAGCAACAGAAACTTTCCAACTTTAAAACAACATTTAAATCTTCCATGGGATGATGTCTCAAAAAATAACAGTTCATCATTTATGGAGATTTTAATGTTATGGTTTTTCTTTCACAAGAAAGTTAATGTACACTTGTTTTATAGTAAAACCTATAGCCGTTCAAGTATAAAAAAACACATTCAACTTTATTGAAATTTGAAGATTCATATGACTTATTTTAATTCTGTTATCTCTGAGGATGTGATGTAGAGCATTATAGGTACAGTAATCTTAACAGCTATCCAATTTCATTCAAATTCCTTTTTAAATTTTGCACTGGTATATATAGACTAAGTAATTTGTTTTTCGTCTAGTTATGGGATTTTTTTTTAGAAGCATTTATGATTTTCATGTTTGTATTGACCACATTGCAGCAACATAGATATAGGTACCTGGCAAAACTTGCCTTGTTAGCATACTAGGCTCAAAGGGTCATAAAAAAATTTCCATCACTAAGTGTCTGTTAAAATCATCTGTTTACAGTTTTCACTTTTAAACCATCATCTTAATAACTTTAGAAGAAGTGTCATACATATATATATATATATGTATACAAAATTTAAAAACTTTTCAATATATATATATACTGATAAAAACTATCAACATGACAAGATCTAAATACCCAAAATTTTTCTGAAAAATTGGACATAACATCTATGAGCTATTGTCCCTGAAATGTGTAAATTTACAAATTTTCACAGTTTTCTGCTACTATCCGACAACTATATCAATATATTATAAGAATAAATTGCAAAAGTGGTCAGAAGAAACTTTTTTTTTACAGTCTGAACTTATTCTGAATTGTTTAACTGCTAATTTAAATTGATTGCGTTTGAAATATGTGTTTTTTATCGTTTTAGGTGCACAATTTGTCAATACAATCTATTTCGGCTCCTGGGAGCCTCTAGATTTATAATGAATAATTTTTATTTATGTATGATTATTTTCTTAATGTATTAAATGAAACATTAATTATTCTTTTCCATTTGTTGTTATACTTATTTATAAGTCCAGATCCTATCATATGTCAGTAGTTACAAATTAGACGGCAAAATTGAGAAAATTTGAATATGCAGGTTACCCCATTTTGTTGTGGCATATACCAGACACCAACATTATTTGCCGAGCTTGAAATTTTTTTTTATTGGGTATATATAGTTATACTTTGCAAGTAGATATGTTGTTTTACAATAATAAACGGGTCTTGGAGTATTTTGGCTCTGAAAGATGACCAAAATCAGCCATTTTGGACATGTAGCTAAATAAGACATATTGAAACAGTTAGATTATACATACACTTAATAGACAGCATTGTTAATTCTATGCATTCTTACACTTAAAGTGATGTATTACTAGGAACAACTATCAAAAAATTATAAATGTGACCATATTTTTTTATTTAAACCAGCGAAATATGCCAAAAAAAGGCTTATTTTTGCTGTTTTCGAGCAATTTCATCTGTTAAAACATGGTGCTCAAAAAATATCCAGATCGGTTCAATATTTTCCCAAAAAAATTTGTGTGGTTATTTATATTACTAAGGTGCACCAATATGCCAAATATGAACTCATTTGGAAAAAGTGACATTCGGACGGTTTTGCATGGTTTTCTGGCAGATTGGCTCTTAAGGAACTAGTTAAAAGCACTGAAAGTTTAATTTAGTTGTATAACACTTACTAGAAGCCGAGATGAAACGATATTTTACTGGTGTTTTTGTGTATAGTTTAGGTAACCAATACATAGAAGGGACCTTCATATGTTCTGAAGAGGACTTAAGCTGTGATGTGGTTATGATATGTTTGTTTACTACCCAACTTTCTGTGGAGCGCACAGACTTGAATGTAGAAGAATTTAAAATTTCATTCTTAAGAATGTCCGTGTAGTATTTACGGCATACCACCACCACATTGTTAGCTGCTTTGTCGGCCGGTACAAACACAAACCGCTTTGAAAGTACTAGAAGTTTGTTTCTTATTCTATAAATAGGCGTATTATGACTGTACTCTTGTATTTATTTCTGAATTATTTTCAAATGGTATTCGAATATCCACACATTCATTCATACATTTATTTAATAATAAGAATCTAGAGATATTTTATCAGATTTTTCCCGTTTACACCAATTTTTACAATACGATGAAAGAGCGTCTTTTGTGGCCTGACGACACTGTTTCCAATCTCGGTCTTGAATGATATTGAGGTCCCCGTAATTACATGGCCATAGGGATCATATCTAAAATTCGACGATTCACAGTCTCAAGTTAGAGGAGTTTTATTTTCTACATTGACTCTGATGTTACTGACGTATAATTAAAAATTAAACTTCTGTTGTTTTTTTTTGTATGTATACGAAATAATAATTAGTTCTGTGTTATCAAAATAGGGAGATATACAGCTTTGGATGGTAGTGTCATTAAATATACTCGATAAGTTGATGAAATCCGCAGGAACAGCCTATGTTGGCAAACAGCTGTAATTATACGCGAATATGAAGAACGAGATTGTGTCACACACCTGGAAAATATCATGTAATTTACTAATTGGTATTTGAACCAGTTTACATAATAATTGATGCCAACCATTGTTTTTAAATATAGATAGATCATCAAGTGTATAATTTATACGGATTTCGATTGATACGTTTGCCTTGAGACCTATTATTACGTTGTCTTTTATCAACAATATTCATGATATCACTTTGTATCAGTATTTGTATAAATAAGAAGATGTGGTATGAGTGCCAATGAGACAACTCTCTATCCAAGTCACAATGTATTAAAGTTAACAATTATAGCTCAAAGTACGGCCTTCAACACGGAGCCTTGGCGGCTCACATCGAACAGCAAGCTATAAAAAGGGTCCTAAAATGACTAGTGTATGTCTAGATGTTTGACTTAGAACAGTTCTTAAGTTTTAGTAACTTTTGGAGTTTTTAATTCTTGATAACTTTTTAAATAGTCTAATTTTAAACCCGAAAGAACACAGCCGAATTAATCCGGAAAAGGAAGGACAGTCCTGTTGTTTGCTTACTCAGTGCACAAAAAAGTAGAATCAAAAGCATTTGGGAATTATGCGTTATTTGCAAAATTTCTGCCTACGAAAATTTGTCAAATGCAACAGTAGAAGGTAAAACTACTCTTGAAGATGCAATAGATGTGAGACAGGATAATTTTCAGCGCCGCCTTTATGACGAATTTGATTTAGCCAAATTGATTCCATTAGAACAAATAAAATATCATAAGTCGTGTCATAAAGCCTATACAAGTAAACTAAATTTTGAAACATTTGAATTGTGAAAAACCAATGCTCAACACTACAGACTAAACTTAAACTAATACAAACGAAATAAGGCGTGTCGAAGTTTGCTTTCCATAGATAACTTTAAGGATAAGCCGCTGTATCATTAAGCATGCTCTGCTAACTAATTGCTGACCTGGAAAATGGAACTTGCGTAAGATGCTTCAATTGAGTCGGTGCATGATGTTTTCAAAAAACCAAAATTTATATGGTGATCTGTTTGTGAATTAGGAAGCATTTTTGTTTCGTATAAAATTTGCTAGATTAATTTTGTTCCAGAGGAAATGGGCAGTAAGTATACAACTGCTCAACAACAACATCAACTACATAAAAACTACTGTGATAAAAAATGTTTTTCAGACTCAAAGAAGAGGACAGGGTAGATCAAATTTGATTTTAGCTCAATTATTGTTTCCGAGGCTAATCGCACTGCCAGTTGTTTGAAAGCGGAATAAAAATTTTCAGAGATAAAAACTATGTTGGTATTGTTAAATGATTCCATACACCCAAGAAGATCAGACCCTTCATAGTGAGGCAAACATTTTGAGAAGCACTTTACGACCGATCGAAATTTCAAATGATTACTACCCATCTTTATCAGAAGTTTCTATCCCTTCAGCTTCACAATTTATTCTTAACTATCTGATAAATTTTCTTGCTTGGTTAGACTAAACTACTAACTTAGTAGATGACAATTGTTTTCATATGGAGAATATAAAAATAGAGAGATGTGGTATGATTGTCAATGAGACAACTATCCACCCAAGTTCAAATAAACTGGATGTAAGCAATTATAGGCAACCGTACGGCCTTCAACAATGAGAAAAAACCCGTATCGTATAGTCGGCTATAAAAGGCTCCAAAATATGAAACAATTCAATTGAGAAAACTAACGGCCTAATTTATAACAAAACAATTTATAATTACGAAAAACAAACATGACAGACATGAATCAACGACATCCACTGAACTACAGGCTCCTGACTTGGGACAGGCACATAAAGAATGTGGCGGGGTGAAACATATTTGTGAGCGCTCAACCCTCCCCTAACCTGGGAAGTGGTGTTGCAGCACAACACAAGAACAAACTATGATTACTATGCACTCTCATGTGATTTTGTACGGAAATGTATTGCTTTAGCTAAGTGCGTGATAAACCAGCATAAACTAGTACACTTTTAGTTTAGTATTCGCTCTTCGCTGCATGCATCATGGGTATGGTTCGAAAAATCTAATTGAAACTTTACATTCACATGGCTTTAGCGCGACGTACGATGAGGTGAGAAAATTTTGACAAGTTCATCAAATCATGAAATCATAAGGTCACATAATGGGTCATACACCCCTTATCACAAAACCCATACAGGTATCAAAGTTTGTCGATCTAGCTGGTTCTGATATGGACATATATATTGCAGTGGGAAGAAAATTCATCGCTGATCTATATGACAACAGAGGCAAAGCTCTTGTTCTGATTATCCTATTACATAAAAAAACCTTCATAAAATATCGTTTTCATGCTGACATTTATGCATCACAACATTCTTTTGGGTTTAAATAGCCAATAATGAATTTTATGATTTTTGCTTCATTGAATCATGGACCAAGTGTTAACTTTACAGTGCTCATTTCTCCTATGTTCTCTAATTTTTTCACTATTTTCACATTTTCCAACCGATTGTGAAAAAAATGTTCTTCTCACTTAGTGAAATATCTGTTCTCGGCAAATGATTGGTCGAAATTTAATTATGACGTCAAATTTTCTTGCTTTCTTCTGAATTTCCTATTGTGACGTCATGAAAAAAGGCGACCATTCCTGATGACGTCACATATAAAGAACACAACTTTCTGCAAATCTTTGAAATGGAAGGATAAAAATCATTACAGAAACAGATTTCACCACTATAACTCGTGAATTACGATATTTCTCCACTCCCAACAGTTACATTTTAATTATTTACAAAGCTCGGCAAGCATCGCGCTTTAAATATTGAAATTTAACTGTCTCGAGTAGAGAAATATCGTAACACACTTGTTGCAGTGGTGGAATCTATGTTTCTTTATGGAATGTTAACAAAACTTTCCTAAAAAAATGTTTTTATATGTTGTCGTATATTATTGCAAAGCTGAATATTAAATTTAAATATTTTTTTTGATAATTCCCGTAGATAAAGATAAATTTTTCATTTACTTACATGTTGGAAGTGGAGGTAAATGTCATTTATTTCTAGCAATCAGGCGTACATATGCCAAGCTGAATTTGTGCAACATTTCCAGAACATGATTTCATAGAAATTTTTTCTAAGTTATCACGTGGGATGATCGAGAAATTGTCCAAAATGCCAAATTGTGATGTTTAAAAACCCCTTCTGACCTTTGACCACACTCTTCAAAAATCTTCACCACTCTGGTACTCGAAGACAGACGTTGATCTAAGGGCATTATATTAAGCTTCTAAAATAAGAACAAAATTAGCCGTGAGGTATTTCGGTCCTTTAAAATGTTTATATTTATCCTACTTGTCACCGTATTATTACAATTCATTTCTGCCTTACTGCCGGTTTTAAAAATATTTGAAAAAAAAACACATAGGGTTTACAGACCTCAATTCATTCCTGGAAATAATTCCAATACAAGAATAAAAACTTGATACTTGATGATAGAATACATCAAAGAAGATAGA